CAGCACCAGAACAAGAACTTTCACATAAAAGGCCATCTTGCCTTCCCACCTCCTAGCATTCTTTTTATCTGCAACGTGGGTGGGGAGAAGTTTTTTAGTTGTTACTATGGCTAGACGGCCAGTGTGGTACAGTGGTTTGAGCATTGGACTACAACTCTAGAGATCAGGGTCCAGTTCACTGTTTCGTCATGGAAACCCACTGGGTGACCTTGGGCAGGTTCTACTCTCTCAGCCTCAGATGAAAGCAATGGCACACCTGCTCTGAAGAATTCTTAGCCCAAAAAACCCCTTAGGTTTGCCATAAATTGGAAACGACCTGAAGCATACAACAACAACAGTAGCTAGACAACTAGGAATTTAATTTCTTGGCTATACTACTTAGAGACCTACAAGTAGATCCCAATCTACCTTCTTTTAAGGTTGGGTACAAGACTAGGGTGACCTTGGGCAAGTCACATGTTCTCAGCCTCAGGGGAAGACACTGGCAAGCCTCCTTTGAAAAAATCTTGCCAAGAAAAGCCCAGGTTCGCTTTACAGTCACCACAAGTCAGAAATTACTTGAAAGCACACAACAACAAACAACAGGTTATATATTTAGAGCTAGTCTTTATTTCTTCATGGTGTTCATGTTTATTAAAGATGTGCCTCATTTTTTTACATTTCACCATAGTAAGACATAGTAAGAGATAAACACCATAGTAAGACATAAACAGAAATATCCACAACATCAGGTATGGCATGACCCTATACCAGTGATGGTGAACCTTTTAGAGACCAAGTGTCCAAACTGCAACCCAAAACCCAGTTATTTATTGCAAAGTGCTGCATCCCTCTTGGCTTTCTAGTAACAAACTCTGGCAAACTCTGTGCTGGGGTGATGGCGCGTGTGCCCACAGAGAGGGCACTGAGTGCCCCCCTGGCACATGTGCCACAGGTTTGCCACCACTGCCCTATAGAGTTGAGGGAGATGTCAATTATACTTGTCAATCACTAGTAATGTTGTGAGTCTGAGAATTGCATAGTATTATACATTTCCTATGGGAAGAGCTTCTACGCAGAAGATAGTACAGTCATCTCTCCTGATTGCAAATATTCAAATATTTGCAATATATTCAAGGCCCATTGGTTACAATGGGTGCACGCTCCTATGTGCAGTGCTGCATGCGTGCCTCAAGCACCCCTCCCATTTTGTCTCTCCCTACTTGCTATCTGCCAAGGATTGAGACTGCGGACACAGTCCGCGAACTGGGAGAGATAAATGTATTGCTTTTTTTTTGTTGAATCATCACATTAAGATCACAGCTATGTGTACGCTATATGTACATATAGCAATGTACATATTCAAACTACAGGAAAAGAGATTTAGCCTAAACATTAGGAAGAAAACTGCCTGACAGTAAGACCTGCTAGACAGTAAAACACACTCCCTCAGAGGGTGGTGCAGTCTTTGAGCTTGGATGGCCATCTGTCAGGGGTGCTTTGAATGTGTATTCCTGCATGACAAAGGGTTGGACTGGATGGCCCTTGAAGTCTTTTCCAATTCTAAGATTCTATATGTGTGATCTATGCACATCAAGGTCTAAATGCAGGTTTCACACTATTTTCTACACACAAGCCATAACTATATAGTAAATATATAACCTGTAAAATCACAGGCACTTGGTTTTTTATTTCAGCAGCTTTTATGTGACATGGAATATATAGTGCTTGAACAGGCCTAACTTCCTTCCTGGACATTTTAAGTTTATAAAAGATTCTGGCAACAATGTTTACTATTGATATGGATCATATGTGTCCAATATTATTGAACAAAGAAGATAATAATACATATACTAGTAAGACAAGTAATCCTAATGTGAATGTCTTCATTTTTATTTTTCTTATTTCCCAATTCTACATTTTAAGTTGAAGAGATTTTATTAAAGTTATTATTTTGCTCCCTGAATAAAATATGAAATCACCCAACTGTGAAAATCTCACCTTTCATGAAAAGTAAAACGACCATTCTGTCCATACTTTCAAATGTGTTACTATAATGAACATCAAAATTAATTTACATGTAAATTTAGACCTGTAATCTAACAAAACATGAACAAACTGCATTTCATTAAAATTATTAATATTTTCACAGCAAATAAAGGTTTTGGGGATGTGACAATGGCACAGCCATTAAAGAAATTTAAAACAATATATTTCATAATACAAGCTTCTCTATAGATGATTTATAGACAAATCACTGATATATTTATTTTAAATCATCTTAATTATTTTGAAGCAACAGATTAAAAACATTGGTCAAGATTTAAGTTATTGTGTTTTGTTGAAAACTTTTGCCCTGAAAGAACTCACAGATCAGGCACGGTCTGCACTAGGAAGGATACTGCATCCAAAGAAATTGATTTATATCCAGAAAAGCTCATACGAAAATAAAAACCAGTTTGTCTTAAAGCCGCTGCCATATTTCTTCCTTTATTTTTTTCTCTCTCCTCCTTTTTATGTTGCAAGAGAATAACTCAGCTATTTATTTGAAAACAAGAAGGGAGAAAATGTTTGGCCCTTCAGCTGCTATAGATTTCAGCTCCCATAAACCCTAGCAGCATGACCAATGATAAGAGATTATGGGAATTGTACTCCAAAACATCTGGAAGATTAAAGATTCCCCAGATCCAATAAAGGATCTGGCATACCAATTATGCCATTATTTGTTAATACATGCTATTTACTTAAAGTAAATTTTCTCGGCACATGATGCTGTATAGAATATATACTGTACTGGAAGAAATTACTCTTTCTAGGGGAACACTGAAACTGTAATTTAACATAGGGCAGGCAAACAGCAAATAAAAGGGCCAGATGAGGAGGCAAGGATGAAAAGAAATACGGTATGTGTTATTTCAGTTATGATAAATATTTAGTGCCACTGGATCTAAATACCCTAAAGGCACCAGATCCTGTCTGATCTTGGAACAGAGCTGAGCAGGGTCAGCCCTGGTTAGTAGTTGGGTGGGTTTTCTTGGCAAGAGTTGTAGAGAGGAGGGTTGCCATTGCTTTCCTATGAGGCTGAGAGAGTGTGACTTGCCCAAGGATACCCACTGGGTTTCCATGGCGCAGTGGGGATTCAAAACCTAGTCTCCCAGTGTCCTAATTCAATGCTCAAACCATTACACCACTGTCCTTCACTGAAATAGGGCCTTAGCAAGGGTTTAAATTACACCATGTTTTGGAGTAAGAACTTTTACAAGCAGGACAGTGTTGATCATTACTTTATATAAAACACAGAGCATAGTATTTTAACTAGTGTTCTAACTAGATTGGAGGGAGGAGGGAGGCTGAGTTGTAGCATTACTTTATGACATTTCACATTCTGAAGTGTGCCTCTCTGATTTTGGAATTGAGAAAAGTGACTTTGGATGGCAGCTGAGGGTGTTCTGGGTGTTAACACCCAAAAAGAAACAAGCAAATAATTTTTCTAAGCCTTGGCATTGCTTGTCCTACCTTCCAAGGCTCAGAATCCAGTGGTGGTTTCCTCCTTCGAAGGGGCAAAAGGAGCACCTGTCCTCTAAGCTTTTGGGAAGACAAAATGTAGTATTAGAAACAATGCAGTCAGGACATGAAAAAGCCAGGTAGCAGTTGCTGCCAGAGTGTTTTGTCCTTGCACAAGTTAAAAGGTAAAAGGGAGGTACAAAACAGGTCTGAGAACTAGTGTGGTATAATGGTGTGAGCATTGGACTAGGATTCTAGGAGGCTAGGGTTCAAATCATCCCTACTCAGACATGGAAACCAATGTAAAGTCATGGCTTTATGTAAATCGCACTCCCTCAACCTCAGGGGAAGGCAATGGCAAACCTAGGACCTTATCACATGCTGGCAACGAAGCAAAAAGTAACCGAAATAAG